TGTGTGTGTGTGTGTGTGTGTGTGTGTGTGTGTGTGTGTGTGTGTGTGTGTGTGTGCGTGCGCAGGTTTTTCCTACAACGTGTGGACAATTTTCCCAAAAAAAAGCTGCCTCGTGGGGACCAAAGAATCGTGGGGGCCACTGCCAGGTCCCCACTGGTCCAAATGCAAATTACCGGTGTGGGGTTATTTTTAGGACCAAGGTTTAGGTTAGTTTTAGGGTCAGGTAAGTTTCTGTGAGGTTAWTTTTAGAGTATATGGTCAGGGTTAGGATATAAAGTCTAAAAAYCATGAATGGAAGTCAATGGAAGGTCCCCACGGGGTCGAGAAACAAACGTGTGTGTGTGTGTGTGTGTGATTGGGGCTTTTAGAGTGGTAACTGGTCATAAATTAAGCAGAATGACAAATCCTCAGAAGTGTCCTCTGTGTGTGATAGAGTCCATCTAACCTGTCTATTCATATAGCTATCAGAGGGACAACGTATTCTAGTTATAGTATACTTAATTCTTAAACATTGTATGAAGAGAGTTTGTTTTGAATTTCATGTAGAGGCAGTGCTTATAAGGCTGAGTTCACCTGAAACTCCTCAGACTGAAGAAATCTCTTGGAGGAGAGACAAAATGTTTCATTAAAGGTATCATATCATGCTTTTAAATCCTTCTTTTTCATGTCTAAATCATTCACTTATGGTCTATTTAAAATAAAACTGCAACGCTTTTGTCTTAATTCCTCGTTTTTGTTGCTCCACAGACTCCTTGCTTTCCTTGCTTTACCCCTGTTCTGAGTTGCGCCTCAGAGCAAGCTGTTTTGGTGCGGTCTCTTTAAATATACAAATGAGACATTTCACACCCCGCCCCCTCCAGGTCGCTGAGCGTTCGACTCCACCCCGTTCGGCCATATTTGTGGTTTCATAGCAAAAACACAGTTATCTACCGACTAAAAACTGTTTTTAAGACAAAATAAGATAAGATAAAACTTTATTGATCCCACAGTCTGGAAATTTGCACATTACTGCAGCTTAATACAAGAGAGGCTGAGAAGAATAATGAAAGATTAATAAAAGATAACAAACAAAACCCCACAATATACACATGCGATATATAGTAATGTACCAATGCACATATACACATATACATAAACACATGTGCTTATTTATATACATATATACACCGTAAAGTACAGTACAAAAATGAATGTATATGAAGGTGCATATTAGTGATGGCAGATGGCAAGAAAGTATAAGGATGTCAACAACAGTAGACTTGTCAATTTATGTACTTTATTATTCCTTGATAAACAATAAAAAAGTGTCAAATTACATTTAGGGTTTTGATAAAAATTCATTTTTACCTAAAATGCAAAATTATACATGTTCAATAGCTTTTTCTGTATATGGAATGCATTGCCTTCATAAAATATGTTAGCAACAGAAGATAAAAATGGGAGCAATCAAATCAAATAAATTGATCACATACACAAAGTTCACCTTGCAATGAAATGTTTTTTTTGACAAAAATTGAAGTTTAAAATTACACAGAAAACAGTAAAAAATCCTGATTTTTTTTTTTTTGAAGAATGAAATATGACCCATCACATCGAAATGAGGATTAAGTCCAAAAGTGGTGTATGGAGAAATAGGCAAATATAGTGTTTTGACTAGTAAAATGTTAACAAAAATTGCATTTTGTCAAAACATAGAGAATAAAAGCCTTATCAATGTATCAGTTGAATGAACTGTCTGAAATATAATCATAAAACAAAAATTTGAAGCACTCTTTTGAACAGTAGCAACAAAAAAACTGATTTTGAGGAATAACACCTTAAATTTTTAAGATTTTCCCTGTGAGCTAGCAAAGTATTTTTTTAGCTGGGAAATCTCAATATTCAAATAAAATTTGAGGTTTCCTCTTTAAAAGGATATCAAAAATTCCTAATTAAAATGACATCAAATAAGTATTCAGACCAAATATTTATGTAATATTGTAACCAACAAGACAAATTAAGTCATATATATGGATTTAATTATGATATCAGAATGATCCAGGTATCAAAATGTAGCTTTTAAAGCCAAGAATCTGAAAATATAATTAGGTCATTTTGACCAAATTCGACTTAATCCTCATTTTGATATGATGGCTCACAAATATGCAACCTCATCACACTGAGCCATCTTGTCCTGCACGTCCTTTCTGCGAGATGTGTGGAAGGAAGTATGTGTGATCCTGTTG